GCCCAAAATATGCACATTTACAGTTCATGGAAGCCCCGAAATCAGTATACAAACATGCTAGAAATGCAATGCAAAATGAGGCTCAAAAGTGGCTATAACATGAGGTATACAAAGAATTCATCAAACAGAAAAATATTTTTAATGAAACATGACAAGGGGGTCAAAATATGGCCACTTTAAGTTCTGATCATGGTCGGAAAGTGAAAACTCAATAGGCTAAAAAAACATGCAAAAATGAGGGGGAAAGAGGGCTATAATGGTAGGTGGCATATAGAAACATCAAATGGTGATGAGCCCTTCAACAATGTTGAAGAAGGGCCCAAAATAAGCACATTTACAGTTTATAGAATGCTCAAAAACAGATCACACATGGGCTAGAAATATTATGCAAAAAGGATGGCATACAAGAGGGTTGTGAAGCAAGTGCCAAAAATAAAACTCAAACAGAGAAATATCCTTAATGAAAGATGAAAATGAGCTCAAAATAACACTAATTTCAGTTATGGCCGGAACTCAAATGTACAAGAAAGAGAGGCTAAGAAATGTTGCAAGAAATGAGCTAAAAAGAGAGAAATGGCAACTCACCCTTGTAGACCAAACTCTAGCAACTTCTTGGACCAAATTTGTTGCCTCTAAGCTGCTGGAATTCCTCTCCTTGCTGCTGAGATGGAGTGGTGGTGGTAGAGCTTGGTGGTGATGAAGAAAACAAGGTGTAGGACTTGGAGTTTTCAAGCAAAATGAGAGGGATGGAGGGAGCTTTGTGTCTTGAGGCTTGAAGAACAAATTTTCTAACCCCTAAATGTGATGCCCCCAGCTGGTTATATGGACAAGAAGAGGGTGTAAAGGTGGGGGAAAAAGGAGGCAAGCTTTCCCCCACAAAATATCCCTCGGATTGGGATATTTTCTGAGGGAAACAGCTGCACAGCTGTAAAGTGCCAAGCATGAGGAACATGGCCGGCCCCTTACTTTTGCTGCAGGTGGCCGGCCGGCCACCCCCCCTAGCCGGCCAGCTAGGGGTCAAAAGGGTCAACTTGAAATAGTGGCCGGCCACCACATATTGGTGGCCTCCCAGGTCTCCTCTTCACAACCCTGTGGTTCGAATTTGGAAACTCTAAAACAGGAGAGAGAACAAGCCATTTTGAGGAGGGGTTCAAAAGGTTCAAATGGAATTAATGGCCGGCCATATGATATTAGGGTCCTCCCATGTGTGTACAACACAAATATGTGATTCAAAATTCAAGAAAAAGGGCCCAGGTTGTTCAACATTGGCTCGGAAGGAGGGGTTCAAAAGGGTCAAGCAACATTAGTGGCCGGCCATGGACTTTTAGGGTCCTCCCATGTGTGTACATCACAAATATGTGGTTTGGGTTTGAAGAAAATGGCTCCAAGGTGTTCAACATTGGCCCGGAAGTGCGAAAAATGGGTGTCAGAGGGCGAAAATGGATGGTTGCCAAGATAATTGCTTGCCTCCCACCCTTCTACGGCCTTCCTAGTGATGAAACAGAGGTACCTGCCAAAAACGAATGAAAACCGATGCAAAACGAATGTTCGGGGGCCAAAACACGCAGTTCGGGGCCCCGGAAACTGCCCGTTAAACACCGAAAGTGGCGTTCGGCCACGAAGTGGGTTTCTCAGACCCCAGTGTCCCTCAAAAGAGAGAAAATAAGATGCATGCCAAAATTTAGAGCAAACGGAGATGGTTAAGCGGTCCCGAACCGAGGCACACGGCCTGACGGCTCCGAAAATCGGGAACCGGACTCCGAAATGGGCAAAATGGCCTACAGCCACCAAATGTAGCCCACGGCCACTGAGAGATGGTCTACGGGACCTCTCCCTCCCCTCGGGGAAAGAAACAGAGAAAATCGAGTCTGGTTCGCGAACCGAGACAAGGCACAGGAGAGGGTTCGGAAATCCGGAGGCAGGGCTTACGGCCGCGACTCTGAGACTTCTGAACGAGCACGATATGCAACGTCACCGAGCGCTCAATTGGTGATGTCTGAGTCTTAAGGTCGGTCAAAAATGGGGTGTCTACAGTAATAAGAAAGATTGTTCTATGATTTTGAAATGTGCTTGTGGATGGTTTAACACTTAAACACGTTCATATTTCTGTTCATCCCCATTTTGGAGTTGCTTGCATAATCAGTTGTGGAACTTCTGGGAGGTTAGTAGCTTAAAACTGGAATTAATTACTGACAATTCTTGCTATCATCCTACCAATTCATGTTTAAAATAATTTTATTTTGTTTTGAAAATCTATACATATCTGTGCCAATTGCATGTCTTATTGACATTTATAGTAGTGTTGATAAGCCATTTCTTACATAGCACAACTAATATACCAATAGTGCACCTTACCTCCATGAAATATATCACCTTACCTATGTGAAATATATTTCTTCTTTTCTGTTTGGAGGACTTTCACATAGATTTTGATCCTTTATGGTGCAAAATATGCATGTTTCATCATTTTTTAATGTACATAACACATCAAATGCAAACATTGTTAAACTAAGTGTTTCCTTGGTTAGATTTTTGTAATTTATGTTGTTTATTTTTCGTCTGGTTCAACTAAATGCTTTATTAGCGATTTTTGTCTTCTACGATGGCATTCTTTTTTAAGAAATTGGAAAATAATTTATGGCGAATCATCTCGAGTAAACCTTTTTTGCGAGCTATGAATCTTTGGTCTTTAAATGTTAAGAGTGCCATTTTGCAAGTCTCATATTGTGGCTTCGATTTGATAAGAATCTTTGTTTTGACAGCACTACTACAAAAATGCTTAAAGATCATACTTAAGAAACTAAAACATGAAACTTTTAATGAAAATGTGATTAAAAAAATCAAATTAATATTTTAATCACACCTAATTTAATTAAGTGTGATAGTATTTATTTTTTGTCACTTTTTAATTAAGGAATTTCTTGCACCAATTCCCAAGTGACCTCCATGTAATGCAATCATGTTCTACTATTTTAAAAAACTTGACAATCTTTGATCTTGAACCAGTTAACTTTCAATTTCAGGATACTAGCAGGCATGGATTTGACGGGTTCCCTTTCCAGTGACATCCTATCATTATCTGAATTGCAATATCTGTAGGTTTTCTAATTTTTCTTTTGCTTTTAATCCATTTAGATGTAATATAAATGGCATATTCAATTTTCGTTACCATCATCTTTGTAGACTATAGTGCTTGGAATTGGATATCCTTGGCATTTTCAATAGCTTGATTCATCATAGACATAATTGTTGAATTATTATTTTGGATATCTTAAATAACATTACTTCCATAAGACTATTTTTAGTTCCTTGCTTAATTAGCTGCATTATTTTTTTATATTCTTCATTCTTGATAGAAAAAAGAGAGATAATTTCTCATTATTAACTTTTGCATACAGGGATCTATCTAACAACAAGGGTCTGACTGGAACTCTTCCATCATTGATCGGGAATTTGAATCAGCTTACAACCTTGTAAGAAAATTCTATCTATTTCTTAGTATCAACAACTCGTGAAATTTCACTCCTTACATTGAATCATTTGCTCTTTGTTACATACAGAATCCTCATTGGTTGCAGTTTCTTTGGTCCAATTCCGGACTCAATAGGATCTCTGCAGCAACTGGTCTTCTTGTAAGAATTTCAAGTCCAGTGTATATGTCTAGTCTCATGTCTTTGGTCTTTTTAATTATGGTACAGTAAATATATTAAACTTTTATTAGCATTGTCTGCAGAGCTCTGAATGCGAACAACTTCAGTGGACCAATCCCGCCTTCCATTGGTAATTTGTCTAATCTTTCATGGCTAGATTTAACTGAGAACCAGCTTAATGGAACAATTCCAGTCTCTAGTGGGAGCACAACTGGTCTGGATATGCTAGTTAAAGCAAGGCACTTGTATGTCTCACCTCTTTGAAATATCAAACTTAAATTTTATTTTATTTTTTTCAAATTCTATAGCGACCCCGGTCTTCTCCCATTTGATTATTGTATCCGGGCTTAGGTTCCGTAGATTCTGTCATTGTATTATTGTTGTTATTGTCCCTTATTTGCTCATTTGGACTTATAAGATGTGTTGGGCAGGTTTGTTTCAGGTTGGTTGGGTTTAGAAACCAAGTGTTGCCGTCCAGAATTTTGGATCTTCGCTCGAGCGAGGAGTTTGTCGCTCGAGCGAGATGTTGTTTTGATTTTTCGCTCGAGCCGTGGTTGGGTAGCTCGAGCGAGAGCTTGCGTCTGGTTTGGACCTGTAGCTTTGCATTCTTGGCTCGAGCGAGCTTTTCTTCGCTCGAGCGAGTTAGTTCGTTCTTCGCTCGAGCAATAGTTC